GCTCCTTTTGGGCCCTGGTTTACTCTCGGGTGCTTTAATGAGCTTTGATTTTTCGAGGGGCTGGGGACAACATTTACACAGTTTGGGTGCGCACATAATGGCAGCACTGGAAGTGTGCTTTAATGAGTCCCCGAGTGCGACACCGAATTTACTCTGGTAACAGCATCCTTGGCTGCAAATGTGTTAGCAAACCGCTTGTGTGTGTGTGTGTGTGTGTGTCCCCTCTGATGCAGCTTTATTTCATTTCATCTGAGGTGGTGTATTTCTAACACCTTTATTGTGCGTCGGGCCCTCCCCCCCGAGGCTTATTTATCTGTAAAATCTATGAACCTGTGTGTGTGTGTGTGTGTGTGTGTGTGTGTGTAGGAATCTAATCTGGCGTTGTATCTATTCTCTGAATGGCTAAGGACTTAAGAAAAACAAAGGTAATTTGGCCTTAAGCGAGCTTTCTCTTTCTCTTTCTGGAGGAAGATCTTTTGTTCCCGCAGTCTAATAAATCACTAGATCTGCTACAGGAACATTTTCCCAATACCGCCCTCTTCATATTCATCCAAACATTGATCTTTTCTGCAGAGGGCACGTATGTCATACGCACACACACACACACACACACACAAACACACACTCGAGTGTACTTGAACGCAGCATCTCCAGCCTAATTAGCAAAAGCATGACGGCCCATCTTATTTTCTTGCCGTGGTGGGAACATTTGACTCCCCACAACCTGTTCCAGTTCACCTTTTCTTCTTTGCTTTTATCCAAAACGTCCAGGTATTCAGTCCAAGGACACACACACACACACACACACACATACTGGTTTTTATGTGTCATGGGGATCAACTTTGTAATCAGCACTTGCGGGGACCACCCTTTCTACAAGCCTTAGAGGTCTAAAAAAAATCATGCACAACAACTAAAGCTTGGTTAGCTTATACACGCCTTCAAACATCTGAAAAGGTGAAGTAATATTTTCATCATGCTATTTGGGGACTTCCGGTAAATCGAGTGGACATGCCTGATGAGGACCTCATTAACAAAAATTTGCATATTTCACACAGATTCAAATGTGATAAGTGGGGACATGACATTTGACATGCAGCTATCTATACCGAATGAATGTAAAGCTTCTTTGTTTTGTGAAAACAAACTTTCAACCAGTATTTAAAGCCCCACTATGTAGGATTAGTGGTACCGGTACTCCAACCAGTGACTTTATCATCCCCTCTGTTCCTGAACCAGCCTGCCCTCTGCTTATGACCTATCCAGTCCACTAGAATCTTCATTTGCCCCTCTTGATAACATTATTCCCACTTTCCATGTTATTCCATGTTGTAAACTGTTGTTGTCTTGTCTGTAAACAATATCTATTGCACTTCTGCCCATCCTGGGCGAGGGGTCCGTCCTTTGTTGCTTACACTGAGGTTTTCTTGGGAATTTTTTTTCTTTTTATCAATCGATATGAGGGTCTAATGGCAGAGGATGTTGTTATGCTGTGTAAAACCTTTTGAGACATACTACTAAAATTGGACTATACAAAAAACTTGCATTGCCAAGAAAACCTTTTAATGTTTTCAAGTTTTGCATAACATGAGACAACAGAGAAGAAAAAGCAGTAGTATAGTATAGTTGTGCCAGATGTCTGTTAAGGCTCTTCCCACCGAGCTCTATCAGTGTCTCTCGGCTGTGATCTGAACACTTTTCAAGAAAGCTTAAAGAAATGTTCTTTTTAAGGCTCTTAACACAATTATAAATGCAAAAGTTGAACTCTCATTTAATAAAAAAACTGTAGAGCCATATCAATAGTGTCTGACCTGAACAATAATCAACAAAGCCTAGTCTGTTGCTATTTTGATGGCTGTTATACGGTTGTAAACATAATACCTCAAGGTTTGCCAGTTACGAGCTCTATCAGTGTCTCTCGGCCGTTACCTGAACACTTTTCAAGAAAGCTCAATGAAATGTTCTTTTTAGACTCTTAACACAATTATAAATGCAAAATTTGAGTTGAAATTTTGCATTTATAATTGTGTTAAGAGCCGTTCAAAGAGTTAAAAAAAAACAGTAGAGCTATATCAATAGTGTCTGACATGAACAATAGTGTCTGACCTGAACAATAATCAACAAAGCCTAGTCTGTTGCTCTTTTGATGGCTGTTATACGGTTGTAAACATAATACTTCAAGGTTTGCCAGTTACGATTTTTTAGGGCCTCTTGTTCAGCTCTAAGACACCTTTCGCATTCCCATTTTCCTGGGACCATGCATGATGAAATGAATTTCATCAGATGCCTTTCAACCGCTCGTATCTCTGTCTGCGTCCACGGTGATTTCTTCTGTGTGGCTTTTCCTGAAAGAGCTGAGAAAGACAAATTTGTAAATAGGCAGTATAGGGTAAATAAAGTAGCAAATCTCTCAAATCTAACACCATACTCTCTCTCTCACACACACACTATTACACTCCATGACACACACTTTATTATCCTCTCACACAGATTACTAATCTCTCTCTGAGTATAGTCAAGGAGTTTATTTGGCTTCAGAAACTCAGACCATCAAACCGAGAAAAAGCAGAATTCATCTGCTCAGCAAATGAATGGACATTTACCTCACATGATTGGCACTTCAGATCAGCTGATCATTAGTGACGGACTAGCAATTGGAGTATAATTGAATAAAGGAATATAAATAGCTCCTACAAATCTCAACAGTGACCACCATCAAATTTTAGTTTAAGGATAGTTAAGAATGACTTCAGGACATACATTTTTTCCACCACAGTGATGAGAAAAGGTGGATCTGGAAACCTGAAATTGCTCCAGTCAGACATTCTCTGATTATTACTTACTCCTAACAGAGGGCCTTGAAGGAGCATCGTCAAGAACAGCAGATGTTGACGATGGTTGAGACGACAGCTTTCGCTTCCTTGATGGTGTGGGCAGCATTACCTCAGAAAGACCTGACTCCTCTGTTGATGGTTCTGAAAAAAAAATCAGCTTTTACATCAAAATATGAATTGTACTTGCAAAGCACCACATACTGTTGACAATAAA